ACAGAGCAACACATCAGGAAGGGATCTCAAGGCCACTGAGAACCTTCCTAGGAAAAACGGCTAAACGACTCGATCGTTTATAGTGGGAGAATATACAGAAGGATAAACAAATCGCTAGGCTTGAGTCTCAACTAGAGCGATCGAAGGCCAGGAAACAAAAAGGCAAGGCAATTAATGCCAACGAGACCTTTGCTAGCATCGAGACTATACAGCAGGCCAAAGAGGCATGGGCGACATTGAGAGCGACAACGACAACGACGCGGAGGACTAGGCAGTCTATAAACAACGGGAATGGCACGTCTAATGACCCAATCGAGGCGTTCACACACGTGTTCCACATCAACGATAGTGTTAGTTGAGTAATTGAGACTTGTTCTGTTACGGTCGCGATTCGATTAGGTGGTGTAAAACGGGGTTGGTGCAAAACTTGGTGGTCAGACTTACAATAGGTAGAGGTTTATCTCAGTTCTTCTGACCCATCGGCTCAGTCGCCTTAACAGGCAGTTTTGCTTAATTTTGTGATTGGCCAGCGCTTTAGCCCGCAACCCATCCAATTAAGGCGCTGCCCCGATGTCAAGCCTAATGACTGAGACAAAGATCAATACCCCATTCCTAGGCATTCAACGTAATTCCGTCAATGGACGACCTGCATTCAAAAATACGGCTTGATGAGTTACACTCTTATCTGTATTCCTAGAGCATAAATTGACCTCATCTTTATGTGGTTTCTTCCATGCTTGGGCGTATGCTCTCAACATTGATTCTGGTCGTCGTCGCCTTAGGATGCGAAGAATGTCGACTTTTTAATTAATGGATCGGCGGTTTCTGTACCCTCCTCGTCGTACACAGAATGGGAATGGATCTATCTGATTGATTGTGGCTTGCCTCTCTGCCTAATCAGAGAGATTCTGCCTGTTTATATACACTTTAGCCAGTGATCTGAAGGCCTTTCTGGTGGCCTCGACGCCGACGTCATGCCATCTCAGAACGGCGAGATCAACGGGGTTGAGGTAGGTGGCTCAGTTCCTGAGACAGGTAACGTCTCAGGTGGCTATCGTGCGACCCTGTCAACGCTTCAGTTGACATGGTTACAAGAACGACACTGTGGTAAACCACCTGAGACATTAACTGCCTTACCAGTTGCGCTACTTACCTCAACGCTGTTGATCTCGCCGTTCTGCAATGGCATAACGTCGGCGTCGAGGCCACCAGAAAGGCCTCCAGATCACTGGCTAAAGTGTAAAGAGCCAGAGTCTCTCTGATTAGACAGAGAGACAGACACAATCAACCAGTTCTGACCATCCGTGTATTGTGTGCAACACCTTCGCCCTTACTATGGCTGCTGTTTCGTTTCTATGCCGAAGTGACCAGTAGAATGCGTGGTTTAGT